TACTTTTTTTGTTTTTTGCATACTTGTTAAACCTTGCAACAAAATTATTCAAGAATAAAGAGGCATATAAATAACATAAAATAACTGTACAATTCTTAGAAGTGTCTTATCAGATGAAGGGGACAATCCATTTCATATTATTTAAGAAATTGTTAGCTTATATTGTTATACATATTGTTTTAATGAGTGCACATGTCATGGTCTCTATATTTTGAGACTTCCTCATCCATGAAGGTACCATGCTATAATTATCAGATACCATCACTGCGCTAGCGTCACGTGTTCATGAGGATCAGGCTAATCATCCCATATAGAAAACATCACAAGTAAAATTAATCATGTTTATAAAGATGAACATGGGTTTATTATAGCCCACGTACAATTTACATTTCAGAGATCATTACAAATAAATTATTAAATGCTAAAACTGAATAAATTTAAATGAACAAACCTGGCGTTGCATTTGCAACCACGTGAAAACAGGGGGTGCTGCAGCCCCCTCAGCACCCCTACTTCCCGCATCCCTGCTGCACCATGTACTTTTTTTTGCTGTGTTCTCAAATGAAGATGATCAGAATGTTAGTGTGAATGCTTTACTGTTCATGATGTACTGTGTGTTTCTTACCAGTGTTTCCTGCTAACATGATTGGCATTCCTTCGTTGTAGGTCAAAAGTGTCAACCTGTCAGAAGGCGAGCAGCTGTCAATCAGAGGGGTGGATGAAGGCGGGGCCCTGCTCGTGCTGGCCAATCAGACGCTTCTGGTGGAAGGTCAGGTGATCCGCAGTCCGACCAACACACTGTCTGTGTTCTACCGCTCGTCTCCAGAGGGAGGAGTCGGCATGTTTCAGCTGCATTATCAAAGTGAGTCTTTTTCAAAACAAGCCACTTATGCATTAAACACAGCATCTTTGGGACTTGCCTCTTGCTGTGGTTTTATAGAGATAATTACTCTTTTACATAAAACTCTGATGTTTATGTAATATTATAGTAACGAGTCCCACAGGTGCTTGTATAAATGTTAAAAAACGCTCCTCATCCGGATGTCTCAGCACTTGTGGGACTCTTGTTGAACTTGTTCGACACCGGCCAGACTTTGCCTCCAAACTTTTAATTGAAAAATTCTCCATTTGGTTAATTTGCTCGCTTATCTAACTTGATAGCTTCTGCCGTGTCCATTAACGGGGCTAATGTACTTGTAGTTTCACTCCAGGGCTCATTTCACAAGGCTTTCTTGTGTGCAATTTGTTTCAATCAGCGTCCTCGAGTGGCATTAGCATTCATTTTATTCATAAATGATTAAGGGAGTAGTTCACCCCAAAAAATCTGTCATTATTTATTCAGATGTCGTAAAAGGAGAGTTTTTGAAGGATAATCACGTACTCTTTCTTGTCCAGTTTTTCGCCTGAGTTGTGCCCTACCTCGACGGCCTCATTTTGGGGAGGTGTCAGTAAAAGATCTGCATCTGCCAGGACCTTGCTCGCTAATCTAGCGCTCCAAAGTTTGGCTACATTTGCAATCAGAAGTCAAAAAAGCTAAGTATAATATCTGTGATAGCTAAACTGTTGCAAGAGAGGTGTCACCACCAACATGATTCAAACACCAACGTGATTCTATTCATTAATCACAATGATTCGTCTGTTTCATCCCTCACCCTTTGACGTGTGATCGATGTTGTGATCACTTGGTTCGTCCTTGCAGCATACGATCACATCAGTGTGATTTGAACATTTAAATTTGCATTCGCGCTTCCATTGACCTAAAGAGAGCAGCTGTCATGAATATGAACGAAACAGCTTTTCGGCCACACAGTATCATTATTTCTGTGTTACAAACATTCAAATCACAGAAGTACTGGGATGAAAGTTTATAGTTCAGATATAAACTGTGTGTACGATGTGTATGGTAGTGATTAAAATAGAATAAATCACCTTTTGAAAGTAATTTGACACTTCAAATGAAGATTTGTCGATTACATTGTTATGCCAGCCCAGTAGGTGGCGAAAAGGGGCTGTTAAAATGTATTTGTCTTTGAATCACAAGAGATTCGTTCAAGAATGCGGATTCATCCAGTAATGAAACAAGTACATCTTGAGTGAGTCATTTAATCATTAATTCATAAATTACATGTGATTTTGTTTAGTTGTCTAATGTTTTTTCTTCAGAATCATGAGAGAACCACAACTTCCACTGGGGGGAAAAACTAAATTGATTAAAAATTAAAACAAAATTTATCCAGAATCATGCAGTTCTATTTTGCACACAAACAGCTCTTAAAGAGTCCAGTTTTATGTAGCCTGTTGATTTTTGTTCATGGTATTCAGCTCCAATAAATGGTTTGCAAAAAAAGAGACACAGGATAAATGTTTGATATCCTTATTTAATCACATTGGAATCGAAACTGGGAATCTAAAAGAATCGGAATCGATAAGCAGAATCGGAATTGGAATCGGAATTGATAAAATTCAAACGATACCCAACCCTACTCTATATATAATGTACACTATTTTTAATAATTATTATGAAGTAAATTATAATAATAATAATAAGAAGAAGAAATTAAAAATGTACAGAAGCCTGTCTGTGTATATACTTTTATTATATATATATATATATAATCTTTTATTATACTATAATTGAATAAAATATTAAAATAAAATAATATTATAGTTATTTATTGTAATAAATATACCCAATATTTCATTTAAATTGAATATACAGTATATGTAGTAAATAATGATATTTAACATAATATTGGATAAGTAATTAAAACAAATATATTGATAAAAAATTACTGTGATGAGTGGGGGCGGGGCCGAGAACCGTGGGAACGGAGCGAGGCCGGTGGAGTTAATGATAATGCACGACACCTGCACCACTCACCGGTCTCGAGTCCCATGGAGGAGCTCCGGAAGGATAAAAGGAGGAGTCCGGCCCCAGCGGCGTTATCCTGTCCCCAAACTGGCCCGAATGGTACGGGGAGGGCGAGGACTGCAGCTGGAGGATTCACGTCGGCGAGGACAAACGTGTCCTGCTGGACGTACAGCTGTAAGTCCTTCTGGAACATTCTGTTCTGAAAACAACAGCAAAGACTGCTGGTTTGGCTGCTTTGCTGGCTGACGTGTCAAGCTGCTGCTGCTGGAATCGAACGAAGCCCACAGACCTGCTGGATGCGATGACTCATCAAACTGCCTGAATGACTTGTTCATTTTCTCATTTCCTCCTACACAAACCCCTCACCTCTCGCCCACTGTCTCTCTCTCTCTCTCTCTCTCATTAGCTTGAATCTCAGCGACAGTGATATGCTAACCATTTTGGATGGAGATGAGGTCACAACACGTATATTGGGGCAGTTTGTTGGGGGAACCAGCCCGTTTAAGATGTCCTCCTCGACCCCTGACCTCACCATCACCTTCCACTCAGACCCAGCCGGCCTGGTCTTTGGGAAAGGAGAGGGTTTCATCATCAACTACATGGGTAAGGACACTCAAGCTAATTGCAACACAGTTAAAACGCATAAATTAGACGCAGTATCATGCATATTGCGCACAGAAATGGCAAGAGTGTTCTCAAAACCTGATTGTCTGGAACTGAAGAGTTTTGTTTGCATAATAAGCAAGATGTCTTTGAGAACACTTAAATACTTCATATTAACCTGCCCATAAACGTCATATAGACTTTTTTCCTGAATGCGGAAGTCACACCTGACTCTTAACCAGAAGAATGCTTTGCATTTCCGGTCTCCAGTGTTTCCAATCAAATTAGAGTATATCCCGAGCTGATAATCTAATGTTAAACCTATTAAAATGTTTTTAAAAAAAGCACATGGCTCCATAGCGCCATCACTTCACAGTGTCGTAATGACCGTCATTTGTCAGTGCCGCAATTCTCAAAGTTTAATGAGTGTGTAGATGACACGAAGCTGCCGACGTTAGCTACCATAAAAACAGATGGGCACTATTTGAATGGGTTCCTATGGAGACCGGAACAGAAGAGCATCCAATCGGAAGTTAGAATTCGTAATGGCAGCGCTCATCGTTTACTCAGGAAAAAGGTCTATAAAACAACAAACAGTGGTTGGTCGCTTGATAGATTTTCTGTCTTTTGGGCAGTTCTTGGCCAAAAGAAACTGCATTGTGGACCAGAGCAGTGTTATTTTATTGTTATTTATACACTATTATAGTATTTATTATTTTGAATTAGCTTTTATTTTCAGTTTTAGCTTGATTTAGTAATTTTGATATGTGCTTTTGTAATTTTTATTCGTTTTTTAATTATATTTCTATATAGCTTTAATTTTTATTTATTTATTTATATATATTTTTTATTTTAGTACTTAAGGAAATTGGATATGTTGGCATGGCAAATAACTGAAATAAAACTTAAACTTGAAAAACTTGAAATTATTTTATTTCATAGCAACATTGTTTACATTTGTGTTTAACGTTTTTAAGTTTAAGTTTGTGTCTTTTTTCGTTACGTTTTTCATCTAACATTTATTTTATTTTTATTACCGGTTAATTTTATTACTTTAAAAGAAAATTAGAAATGTTGCCATAGCAAAGAACTGAAATAAAACAAATTAAAATTTAAGTACTAAAATTACTAAAAATAAAATATAAATATTAGATGAAAAACTTCAAATCAAAAAAGCTTAAAACACGCTGAAATGTTTAAGCTGAAGTATCTATCAGTTTTAGTAATTTTAGTACTTCAATTTAAACATGTTTTATTTAAGTTTTTTAAATTTTCATTCAAGTTTAAGTTTACGTTTTCTATCTAATATTTATATTTTATTTTATTTCAGCTTCATTTCAGCACTAACAAAGTTTTAGTTAACAATAACAACACTGGAGCAGACTTTATGTTGGTAGTCAAAAGTCTGGCTAAACGAAATTAGTCCGTCACAGTATAAAGACATTTAATTTCCCAACTAAAGACAAGCTTTATACACAAACTTTCAGTCTCGTGTCATGAACACACAGAGATAATCTCAATGCAACTCTTTCTTTTCAAATTACTTCAACCGATCCATTATGTTCTCAAGTGGTCGACATGCATTTCAATCAGTGCTTTTTTTTTTTTTTTTGCACAGACGCAACTATTTTCAGCTCCTGAAATCTCTCATCATTCTCTTCTCCTCCTTCTCTCCTGGCTGCCCTCATTCATTCACATTTAGTTTTGTCTCTATCCTTTCCCATAGGATACACACACACACACACACACACACACACACAGAGCACGTTAGCGTGCAATCTCCAGTAATGGCTTGAACTAAAAAGACAGAGATACTCTTCTTATGTTCGTATAATGGAAGAGGATAAAGTTCCCAGCTGAATAAAGGTCACAAACGCACTGTGAATTCACAATGCCGGTCGATTTGCTCTTGATCAAACCGCTCATGAACTGAGTGCATGTGGAATCTAAAGAAACCCCCATTAGCGCTGCGCTAACAGCTTACACGAGCATCCAGCTATGCTAGGAATAACTGATCTGTTGGAAAACTCTTCTGAATGCCTTTTAAATAAAAAATTCATTTACTTATGCCTTTTACATTTATTTATGATTTTTTGCCAACTACAAGATCTGAAATCTTATGAATAAAGAACTGAAAGTGTCAGAGCTGTGACCTAGCTGTTAGCGCACATGCTCCTACACACGTTCGTGTGGGCGAAGCAAGTTCAACTTGACTTTTTGATTCCCGAAAGGCCAAAAGTAACATAAAACTAGATTTTACATTTCCTAAAAATGAGTGAGTGGTGCTTGCTCGTGCACAAGTCGCCTCCGAAATGCTAGGGTGTTGTGGGTGGTTACTTACTGGCCTAAGTCAATAAAATCCACCCTCATGTGATATTCTGGTCTCTATGAGTCACATCTCTCCTTTAATGTGAGTAAATGTGATCTTTATTATCTGCCAGGCAAAAATTGTCCAGTCACTTAGAAGATATAATGACACACCTTTTAAATCATGTCCTAGGTATGAGTGTGGGGGAGATTATTAGTTTTATTATAAATATTTATTCATTTATTTTGGGCGGGTGAGTGGATGGGAGTGGACAATATTTTTTGCTATCCTATTAAAAAATTTTTGATTTTAAATTAGGGGTGTAACGGTACACAAACATGACGGTTCAGTACGTACCTCGGTTTTGACGTTATGGTTCGGTATGGTTTTGGCACAGCAGGAGGAAAAAACTAAACATAAATTGCTTTTTTTAAATTTAACTATGGTTTACTTTACAAATTGCTCTTTCTTTAAATTAATTCAATTATAATTAAAATGTTCTTAGTTATAAAAATCTACCTCAGCTTCTGCTCTAAACTATAGGGAGCCTTTTTACATTACTATAAGGTTACAATTAACAGCAGAGCCCAAACTTAAATTCAATTACTATTTATTTTTATCTATAACAATCGACACTCAAATTAAAAAATTGTATGCAAACATGTAAATAGTTTTTAAATTAACTTATAAATGATACCGTTTATATTTGTTGTTCAAATATAATAATTTACAGAGTCATAACTTGTTTCATAAAATATTTATTTAAACATATACATTAAATAATTATATCACTAACAGGTACAGTAATGTAATTATTACTTTTTTTTTTTTTTTATAATTATGTAAAGTAAATATAATGAAGTATAGTCTTAAAGGCCCGTTCACAACAAGCACGATAACTATAAAGATAACGATAAATATAGTCCTAAAAATCGTTCTCAATATTAAAGAATAGCAAAGTCCACACCACAGCTATAACGATAAAGGCACAGAGAAACGATATCGTTGGAATCTCTTTCAGAACGATATTTATCGGCTGATGAACGGTAAAAACATTGACACCGAATCAGAATCAATCCTGCTATCACGAGCTCGAGAAATTAAAGCAGCAGACGAGCATGTACTTAGAATAAACAGACGATGACGTTCGCTGGTGTGGACGCTAATATCGTTATCTTTATAGTTATCTTTATAGTAATCATTGTTGGTGTGAACGTGGCTTAATATTTTGCAAAATGCTCTTCACTAGACTTGAATTCTCTAGCAAATATTTCTCTAGCAAATAACGATCTATAGACACTGATGACTTGCCTGAGGTAAATTAAATGCTACGTGACATTTTGTTTACAAGCTGTTTTAATGATGTCTTTCCGCGGTTGGAACACTTAATTCAGCGATTACGTGAGGGGTGAGATATTCATTCATTTATATTTTGCGTTAAAACTAGTAATAAAGAGGAAGGGGTGATCATGCTCACTTGCGTCATATGGCGATATGTCGTACACGTGCGTACCAAACCAAAAGACCCGTTCCGAAAATTTTTATATTATATTGTTTATATATTCATAAATATATTTATATTTTATATATATTAGGACTGGTAAGCGATTAAAATTTTTAATCTAATTAATTACATGATGTGGCGATTAATTAATCTAATTAATTGCAAATTAATTGCACATCAAATTTGGCTGCGAAATTACTCCCAAAAGATCATTTATAGTCATTGTTGTGTAAAGCATCAAACAGACATTACAAAAAGTAGCTTCAGCAAGAAATATTTTGTTTGATAAAATTTATTACGTATACTTTTTTGGACCATGAGGGCTAAATGATGACACGGTTGTAATTTTTGGGTGGGTGAACTATACCTTTAATAATTTATTTTATTAATTTTATTATTATTACTATGGAAATATGAAATTATTTCTTTAATGAAATGATACTCTAAATAATAAACTTAAACTGCCAGTAGGTGGTGGTAAATGTCTTAATGATAAAGTCATTGAGTCATTTATTCATTCATTTGATTCGTTCAATGGCTGATTCATTCAGGATTGAAGTAAATGGCTCTCTTTATGAATGGTCCATTGAATCATTAGGCTTGTTCGACTTGAAGCGGATCATCACCATCAGATCGATCGGTGTGTGACATCAAAGTACCGCAAGAGCTGTAGAGAGCAGATGACTCTGCATGCTTTTGAATCGCTCTCGCGGTACTTTGATGTCATATACCGAAAGATCTGTGCAGCGCCGCTTCAAATCCAACGCGCCTATGGCCAATGGTTGAACGCGCCAAATGGATTACCCAATTCGTTCAAAACGTGTAGTAAAGGGGTCCTTTTATGCTCTTTTACAAAGTCTTGATTTTGTTTTGGGGGTGTACTAGAACAGGCTCTCATACTAGATTGTTCGAAAAACACATTATTTTTCACATATTTTACATTATTACAACACCTCTCTCCCCAGTCTGGCATGAACGGCTCGAATAGTTCCTGTATCAAATGAAGGC